AATTAATAGGTCCGAATCTATAGCTTAGGTTCAAAAATCCTCACCTCTCAACCTCACATCTCACTTTCAAAAGATGTAAAAAGAAGAGGAAGGTGTAACATTCTAAAATTTAACGCAAGATTAATTAAGTTAATCAAGGGTAAGTGAGTAATTTTGGAGAAATATTTAGAGATAAATAATTTTAGTAAGGAGATTATTATTGAATTTAATTTAGCATAAATCCAAATTCTAAATTATGATTTTTTAATAAAATATAAATAGTAATGATAATATTATAAAAAAAAAAGAAAGAAAGAAGAAGGAAAAGGAACATAAAATAAATTGAAAATTAAAGAGGGGGAAGAGAAGTAATTTTTGCTTTGGGTGTTGAGATGTAAATAATGCAAAAAAAACATGAAATGAAGAGATGTGGCAGACAATTCGACGTGCATAATGGATTAATAAAAGACAAAAGAAAAGGTGAGGAGTAAGGACGTGTGGGTCCCACAGTTTTCTTTTGAAAAGCAACACATCTATTCTTTTCTTCATTTCCTTCATTCTTTCTTCATTCCTTCTTGCACAACAGAGAGAGCAAAATCAGAGAGTGAGTGAGAGAGCGAGCGACGCTGCGGTTAGAAGAGCTGGTTTAGAAGGTGACGCTCTATAATAGGATACTTCAGATGAGATTTTAAGTATTCTATGACTAAGTAAGTGTTTTAAATATTTTCTTAGTCATTTTTTCCCTGAGACTGCAGATTGTGAGATTTTGAAAAATCTAGGGTTTGAAAGAGGGATGAATTTTTGATGAGTAAGTCAGGTTATTGAGGTTGTTGGTAGTGTAATAAATATTTTAGAGTATTATTTTGTTGATAGGATTGGAATTTGAGGCTTTGAGTTTATCCCTAAATCTCTATGGGTAGATTTTTAGTTAAATCTAAAAATATAAATTGATTTGTGGATGTTTAAATGATTGTTTGGGATGAGAAATAAATTATTATGGCTATAGAATAATGATTCTAGGCTTGAAATCAAGTTTGCAATTTTTAGGTATTTTTATGTGCGAATTTTTTGGAATAAAAAGGAAAATTCTGATATTAAAAAATTATTTGAATGAAATTATTGTAAAGGAGACTATTGAACCAAGTATATAGGTTCAAATATATGAAATTAAATTTTAGAATTCAAGAGACTAAGACAAAGTTCTTAAAAAAAATAAATATAAAATAAAATAAAATAAATACTTAGGTATTAGAGTATGAGTGAAAATTATGTTAATAATATTATTGACACATTGGGATATGATCAATTATAGATTAATTTTCTTTTGACACCATTCAAACTTTAGAAAGCTTTGGAAGTGTTGTAACTGGAGGGGTAACCTTTGACCTCTCAAAGGTTGAGGTAACCGGGGGAAATCTATTTTATACATTTGTAGGTTAATTAATTAATTATGTTAGTGAAACAAAAGAATATATATATATATATATATATATCTAAATTTGAAATAGTTGTTTGTAATGCATGTGACTTTGTTGAGATTCTATGACTTATGAGTAATGAGATTGATGGTTGATGATTATGTGTACACTCTTGGTTATAAGTTGTGGATTATGCACAGTGATGAAAGTTGATGAGCATGTGGGATAATTTTGAAATATATATATGAGTTTTTGAAATGCATTTTTTCATAAGCATGATCATATGGCGGGAGTTCGCCTTAGTGAAGCAGTTAGCGGTTATGCAAAATCCATATGGTACTTGGCTATTAACCAATAATCCTAGGAGTTATAGCCACTACTTACCTTGTAAGGTACTGTAGCATTGTTCCTATTAAGGGACTTGACCCTACTGGCCTACCTAGAGTTTTGCGTAGAGCTAGTTTTGGGTATGACACCCTATAGTGTGTGATTTGGGAGAAACTGTATTTATAAGTGAGTAAGGTAACTCTGGCCCGGTAGCCCCTCATGATATGATTAAGGTTTTGGGTAGTTTCACCACATGGACGATCCCTTCCGGTTGTTGGCCCACAAATTTCATGTCAGAGGAAATAAAGGGGGATGTAAGGAAGAGATTGATTATGCATTTTATTATTATCATGCCATTTGAGTGATTGATGGCTATGTTGAGAATATGATTATAATTGTAGAAATGAGACCATGTAGTAATTATGCAAATAGAAAGACATTTTGGGCCCTTGAGAATGTGTTTTGATACTTGTATTATATTAATGGGCTAAAATATTTGTGCAAGTAAAAATAGTTATTATCATGCTTTCGTATAAGTTTAATTAAATGATATGAGTTCTTAAAATATTTTAAAGACTTGGGATCCCTTTATATTAAATAGTTTGAAAAAAATACATATTAAGAATTCATTTGGGTTAATCTCGTATTGAATAATTCATTTAGGTTAGTCCTTGATTAACCATAGTTAGTATGATGATTAAGTCCTAATTTAGGACACCCTTTACAAAAGGAGTAGGGAAATCATGCATAGATGAAAATAAGCTACAATCACCTTTAAAATTTTAATGAGTTCATGCCTTAGTAGACCTAATGCGAATCCTATCACCCTTTCTCAATTTCTCCCTTCCTCTTTCTATTTTGCAGCTTGCAGACACAAGTTGATGTATCTTACTTTTGACTATCCGTCACAGTGCATTATGCCTCTACCACAGTAGATACACAGAGAGTGCCATATTTATCATGCACCTCAAATTCAAGCCAGGCGGCCCACCCATTTTTCAAACCTATTTTAAAGACTATACCTAATTCCAAAAGGTCTATTAGTCGTTACTAGCCATCATCAACCCAGTTAACACTCATGTTTACCCAAATTACCCCTAATTAATTAATTAAATTTGACAGTTAAAATTTAGGATGTTATACAAGGACTATCAATCTCTTCCTATAATAAAATAATTAGAAAGAATTTTGCAATAAATTAAAAATAATTTTGCATTTCTTTTTAAAATAAGATAATTAGCAAGAAAATTAGTAATGCATTTTTATAGCTTTCTAAAAATAAATAATTAGTGAGAAAAATAATAAGGTATTTTTATGCCTATCTATAAAAAGATAATTAATGAAATATTAAAAGTGTTAGCTAGGGATTCTATCTCTAGCTAATTATTATAAAAAATTAGCTTTTGACAATAATTAATTACATATTTAATTATTTTCATTTAACATAAAAGTCAAATTTAAAAATTAACTAAAATATTCATAATAAAATTATTTAATATTTAATAGTTACTTTATCACATGTGTACGGTTTATGATGTATTATTTGATAGATGTGTGCAATTAAATAGCATATATTTAATTTATCATATAATAATTATAAGTGCATTCTAATTCAATTGACAATAAAGGAAGGTGTGACACTATTTTGCTGGACTTGATGTTGGCTAACACCACCAATATTTAAGCTGTTCGCTTTCTTTAAAAGCTTCTACAGCTTCCCTGCTATGGTTGATGCGCTTAGCAACATAGGTCCTTTAGCTTGAAACCCAAAGGACTTTGTTTGGTATGTAGGCTTGAATTTAGAAGGACTGTGATTAAGAGTAGAAATGAGGTTTTAAAATTATGTTTGGTATGTAGCAATGATTGCAAGAAATAGTTACCTTTTATTTTGTTTTATAATTAAATATAAATGATGAAAAGACTATAATATCCCTTATAATTAATAAAAAAATTGAAACTCAACAACCCATCTTCCTCTGCTCATGAGTGAACATCAACACTCCTTCCCCCTCTGCTATTGATCACCCTGTTCCTTCATCATCTCTCAATCTTATATGCATCTCATTGACATCAATCTCATTTGAGCTTCGCTCATAGGGTGTTTGAATGTTGTTTCCACCCTTCTTGCTATAGGACTTAGTTTTGTAAGGACGGAACAAATAATTGTCGTCGAGTGTGCTTATTCGATCACTCTTTGAAATGGTTGCTGTTGATGGTTAGTGGTACTTTGCCATCGATGGGATAATGGTTCTCCTTCTCCATTCGATGGTCATGGTACATCAAATCCACATCTCCTTCATCCATTCTCCCTTGCTTCCTTGTTTGGTTTATGGTTCTTTATTGTCAAAGGGTTATCACCTCAAACAATTGCTACCGTCGATAGAGTGAGACTCATTGTTAATGAGAAGGAAGGACTCTGGAGGATCTAGGAGAAGGACAAAGGTTATAGGCAAGGGCATTTATGTCCTAATAAAACCAATTCTAGAATTGTTTTTTCTATGCTAAGGGATACTTGGGATTGAGTAATCATGTATGGTTGATACTGGGCTAACCAATCACTCATATCAAATATGAAAAAGTTAGACAATCCCATTTTCAATGCCAATCCTCACCTCCTTATGTCTCATACCAAAAGGGTCAAAGAGTTGAATTGAGAACATGAAAAACTACATTTCATTAATTAATTGTTAATGGGCTAGCCAAGGCTCATATATGAGCCCATTAGGCCTTTTTGTCAATACTGTACTGATGTGTCAAATCGTCAAAGTTCACTCCTCTTACTTAAAAATAAAATAAACTTTTACATCATTTTTTAGATAAAACTAATCTTTTAATATTTTAATTTTTAATTTATTTATAACTCAATTTTTTATAACTTGCTATGACTTGATCTTTCAACTTTTGACTTGTCCATAACTCAATTTTTCAACTTTTGATCCACGCAAAACTCAGTTACTCAACTTTTGACTTGCTTAAAACTCGATTCTTTAATTTTTAATTTGTCTATAATTTAATTTATGAACTTTTGTTATTTTTATTTTTTCATATTAATTTAGGTGGCATATCAAAAAATAAGGAGAGAGTGTTTTAAAATGACAAATGAGCATTTCTTTTATCATTTTTATTTGATAACGATAATTTTTAAAGAGTTAAAAAAATCAATTTTTGGTTTTTATTTTAACTGGACGAAAGGAGAAAACGAAAAAGGACAAAATAAAGCGCTGACGTATTCGATCCAGTGGGACCCGGTTGGTTGAGACCCAAAACGAGGAGCGCTGGTTGGCTCACCTGCTTCTCGGAGGCATTGCACGCACTTCTCCAATGGCCTCTGGCTGCCGAGATCGCACGTTGGAGTTCCGATCTCTCTCTCAAACTCTGAAGAAGATCGAGAGACTCTCATCACCTGATCAAGCTGAAGATGTTCCTTCTACATCGAAACAATACACTCCTGTGTCCTATTCTAGATCTGAATTCAACAGGAAGGCCTCTCGAATTGGGTTGGGTATTCATGAAGCCTCCCAGAAGATTTCGAGGCTTGCTCAATGTAAGCCTACCTCTTTCATTACTTTCGTATTAATCTTTTTGCCTTTATGGAGGAGAGCTTTCGCCCGTCTTCCCGAAAATTTGTCGACTTTACCTTTGGCGGCATACCGCATCCCACTAGCTGGATACGTAAATGAAAAGGGAAAAGAACTATGAATTGGAAGTGATTTGATTGTGTTGCGTTGCATATCTTAGAGGGCTATTTTAGAGTTCTTTGTTTAATAATTTAATGGTTGCATATAGGGTATTCAGAAGTTACTGACTCGAGTTTTCTTTTAATGTGCTCGTGAGCTTACAGTGGCAAAGAAGTCATCGATGTTTAATGATCCCACTGTGGAAATACAAGAATTGACGGCCTTGATTAAGAATGACATCACGGCATTGAATTCAGCTCTTTCAGATTTACAAACTATTCAAAACATGGAAATAGCTGATGGAAATTATTCGGAGGATAGAATTGTTCATTCAACAGCTGTCTGTGATGACTTAAAGGGCAAACTTATGGGGGCAACTAAGCAGCTTCACGATGTGTTAACTAGCAGGACAGAGGTTAGCGAGGACTAATTTTTCATATTTATGGCATCCCTTTTTTCCACCAGAATTTTGTTAACACTGTGCGTATACTTCCTACAGAATATCAAGGCTCATGAGAATAGGAAGCAAATATTTTCCAAGAAAGCGTCTAGAGGCAATCCTTTCCAGCATCGATCAGAGCCAGTGACTGAGCCACCCCCTTGGTCAAATTCATTAAATGCATCTGAAAGTTCGCAGCAAATATCAGCGTGAGCAATGTTTCTGTAGTCATAGGTTAACAAGTGTTATACCTTGACATGAATATATTTTCTCCTTCTCAGCTTTCATCATGTAAATTTAGGTTGTCTGGCACAAACAAATATCTACCCGCTCCACTAGTTACTGTCTTCTATTCTTCTATAAAGGCATGGTAATAATCCCATGTAGTCATGGTTTCTCAAACTCATGTTTTTTTAATATTGAGGGAGGAAAAACAAAACTCTTGTACATGAGTATGTATGCAAATCTTGGCTGCGGGGAACTTCTTTATCATGGATCGGTCGATCTTACCATATGTATATGAGCATGTAGCCATGTTACCAAGACAATTTTTTCTTGTTAGGTCTTTTGGCAATATTCCTATTTCAGCCAAATTATCCAGACTATTATCGTAATGCGATTGCTTTTTTTTAAATGCCTGATTGTCAGAACTGAACAGGTTTTGAATGCCCAAAATGTAATACTGAAGCTCGACTTACCTTTTTTAAATTAGATAATTAGTAATCACTGTGGTAATCATCTAACAAAAACAGGACATTTATATTTGATGCCATTTTCTTGTTGATCTCATATTGTCTTGCTGTTAAATTTGTACAAATCTGAAACCGGCTAAGTTAGAATTTTTTTTTCTTTATGTTCAAATTGATTGGGCTCTGGGAGTTTAATTTTGCTGAATGATTTGTATTTATCTATCTCTTTCAAACAGATCCCTTTCAAATGAAATCACACCGAGCAATCAATTAAGGTATGCTCTGATTACTTTGAGCGAAGACTAAGTTGCCCCTTTTACTGTTCTATATAACATGGACTTTCTTTACTGTATTGTTTTGGCATACTTCTGTGGTCGTCATGTTTGGTTTGCTTTCAGCATTTCCCACATAGGCTGTTAAAATTCTAAGATTGTAAACCGTATGCTTTTATTTCTTATATGCATCATTTATTCACTTGAACCCAGAGCAGTGTGTATTTATTTTAGGGTAAAAAATATTGATGTTCCGAACTTGCTTTTGTCATCACCTTCTTTTTTAAAAGCTAAATGTGAACTGGATAGCTGTTAAATTGATTTGCTGGAAAAAGACTTGCAGGAATTAATGTTTGCTGGCATACCTAGTAGACTTCGCCATCCGAATGGTTTTATGATTTTTGTGCAATAAGCTTGAGTCTTGGGTTTCTCCAAAACTCTCTTGTAATATCACAGTATTGATTTTTTCCCCCTATCTAGCTTGAGGTTCCTAATCTTTATAACTTTGGTAATGCAAAGTCATTGAATGAAATGATTTAATGGACAATTCAAAATTAACGTGAAATAGAAAGCATAGCCCTTCTCTTACTTATAGACATAGCCTTAGTTGGCAACTTGTGCTAATTTTGCTGATACAGACGGAGGCTAGCTGCTGACAACGCTCCATCCCAGCAAATGGAAATGTCTATGATGCAGCAAGTGGTCCCAAGACAAGAAAGTTATAGTCAGAGTCGTGCAACTGCTCTGCACAGTGTGGAATCTACCATCACAGAACTGAGTGGGATTTTCACTCATTTGGCCACAATGGTTGCTCATCAAGGGGAACTAGCTATCAGGTTTGACTTCATAATTTTGATACTTGTACTGATGCATTCCTCCAAGCTGTTCGCATGCTCAACAATCTCTATCAAATCTGTCAAACTTGAATCGGCAGGATTGATGACAACATGGATGAGTCATTGGCAAATGTTGAAGGAGCTCACAGTTCTTTATTGAAGCATCTCAGCCAAATATCATCGAATAGGTGGCTTCTGATCAAGATATTTGCCGTTCTGATACTATTTCTGCTGATCTTCATATTCTTCGTGGCCTGAATTAACTCACGCTTGCCCAATCACACAAGCATGTTGGTGGCTCATTTGGATTTATTTGTTTTCCTCCATCCATCGAGGCAAAAATGTTAAGGCGTGTGCATGCAACAGGTGTTCTTTATTTTTTACAAGTCAACAGACAGGGCTTCACTGGTCTGTAAAGTTTTACATTCTCAGATTATGTTGTTTGGCGTGATGATACATATGCCGAAACTCTCAGTCGAATGCATATTATGCAAGCTACGTAAACATTGTATGGGTGCTAGGTGTGCTAAATTGATATTATTGTGAATAGAACTGATAATATGGATCAACTTGCAATCCATAGAGTAGTCCGTAGTGGGTTGTGAGCTTGATAGGGTAAGTTGATATAATCCACATCTTATATAGGTTGTATTTCTGCCAACCTATTCATTAGATTATTTTTAAAAGTTACTTAAAATAGTTTTTTAAAATAATTAGAAATGTGTTTTTTTTTAATTTTGATTATTTTCAAAAATTTAAACAAGTATCATAAAAACTCAGGAGAGATATTTTGTACAAAAAAAGTAAGTGATTTTTTTTATAAAATAAACTAAAATAAGCGGGCCCTACATATACTTCTCAAATTATAACAAGACAAGATTCATGTACTTAGTATTATATGTTTAATATATTTATATTCAAACAAATCATGATAAGTGAATTTTAACATGTTAATAAAATGAATAAGAATAATTTATTATAAAATAAATAATCTATAAAAGATCTGCATGATTTGATTTAATTGAAAAAAAGTACATTAAGTATATAATGTTTATTATATAAGTTTAGAAAAAATTATGTATGGGTCTCTTGGAAAAGACTTATTTACAAATAAGTCTCGCAAAATTTAAAAATTAAAGTTAAGTCTCTTGAGATTCGAGTGTAATTTGAAATTGGAGTACAAAAATATAACTCCCTTATAAAAAAAAACATTACATTAACCAATTAATTTACAACTACTTTATTATTAATTTGGAACTATCACTTTATTTTTTACAACTATAACCTCACATATTCAACAGTTAAACTTATCATACATTACAAATTTAGTACTAATTGTATACAACTATTTTATCAGTAATATTCAACTATCATTTCGATATTTTATAATTGTAACTTTATATATTTAATATATTTAAATTGATTGTGCGTTACTAATAATTTAATATTAATTATTTACAACTATTTTATCACCAATTTATAATTAGCATTTTAATTGTTTACAACTGTAATTTCACATAATCGATAATTAAATTGATCATATATTACAAGTAAGGACAATATTATTTGTACTCTAATTTCAAATTGCATCAAGGTTCTAAGAGACATGGCTATGATTTTAAAATTTTATAAAACTTATTTATAAATAAATCTGCTCTACGGGACTTGTACATAATTTTTTCTATAAGTCTTTTCCTCTATAACATATGACATTTTTAAAAAAGCATTGCCTCCATTAAAATATAGAGCATTGTATGGGTTTTATATTTTTGCTTAGCGATACCTTACTTTATTATGTTATACTCAGGTAATTGATGGATATGTTTTAAACAAGGCAAATGTTATTATACTTATTCGGTGCAAGAATACGATGAGATAAAGACATAATTTTTCTTTTTTCAGAAAATCAATATTTTAACAGCCTTTTCTCAAAAATATAAATTAATTAACAGTCACTTATATTGAAGTCCATAGTGAACACAATAAAAAGACAACAGATGACAATTTAGACACTGTAATCCTCGTATAACCACTCTCTGGGTGCATAAGTTTTACATGTGCTTTGACATGAGCTGAATGTTACTCTGCACCTTTTTTGTGATCTTATATTTTTTTAAAAAAATGTACTCTCTACATTGAGAATAAAGCATTCTTAGCTGCATCATTATCCACGTAAATCAGTTAATTATTTTTAAACCAATAATATCTTTTTTATTTTTATTCTTATTTAATAAGATATCTCACTTAAAGATAATAAAGAGTTAGTGTTTATTTATTGAGGGTGTTTTAAAAAAATCATTAATTGCATATTAAAAAAAACTAAAAATCTCTTATATTATTTAACACATAACATCTAAAGAGGGCAGAATAGCTATTTTAAAATATGAATCTAACTAAGAAAATGGTGAACAAATAATATAATCTAATCTAAACTCAACCATATTGCCATTAGTGAATCGTGACACATTCAGCTTTATTGCACTCCTTCTGGATGTTATTGCATAAAGCATACTCTTTTTTTTTTCACCCAAAAAAAAAAACAAACAAAAAGGCGAAGTTTTGGTGTCTCCATCGGTTGAAAAGTCGGTCCTCTCTTCCCCGCCGAGGAACACTCAATCTATGTCAAGAGTAAACCCCCGCGTAGACCAATGAATGCCAGAATATTCAGTGTTCTTTATTTTATCGTCATAGAGCATATAGAGCATATAAGTAGTAATATATTCATCCAAAAAAACTAACCTTTGTACAATATTATATATATTTTAAAAAATTTCAAAGATATTTGGAAACTGGTCCGATGTCTGGAAATGTTAAGAGTAGCATACCCTTTGTACAACACGGTCTCTCCTCTTGCATCTAGATTCTATGGAATTGAAATTTATGAATTTGTGTGAAGTTTTTTATGTTTTATTTTAATATTTTTATAAAATATAGATTATTCTCTCTCCCTCCCTGTGTGTGTGTTTTTAAAAAAGATACATTTTCTAAAATCCACAGATTTTCAATTACGGATAATATATATATTTTTATGATTATACTCAACACCGATTAACAGCTGGACAGAATGGCAAGTGATGCGCTGACACATTAGATATTGCTTGTCCATGCTGGCGGCTGACTGGGCGATGGAATCGCAATAATTTCTCATCAAACTCATCTCAAATGCTTTCATCCTCCAAAACAAATTTATATTTTCTCTTCAATTACGTAACAAACGTCCACTCCTCATCCTTTTCGCTTATTTACTGGTAGCACTTTTCACCTTTTTCACGGCAATGCCATAAGCAGTGACGTGCGCGCTTATTTACTAGCACCCCCATTTTTAATTTCAAACTTAATTATCACACTTCATTTTAACAATCACGTGTATGCATATTCATATAATAATTTCACTGCATGTCCGTTACACCGAGGAAAATAAAGCAAGGGGAGACGTTCGCGTAGTTGTGAAGACAAAATTTCTCTTCATTAGTTATAATTGAAGGACCTGCCGCTACCACCCCTCATTTCTTATTCTGTAAATAAATTGAAATAAATAACTGTATTTAGTGGTCATCACTCATCAGTTAATTTTTCCGCCATTATTGGAAAAAGAAGAAGCATATGCACTGACCTTTTTAAAATACAAGCGATCAGTTCATCGACGCGTCGCATGTGACACGAAGAAAAGTGTACATATATATGTTCTATACATTATTTGATAAGTTGGTGTGTGTGTGTGTGTGTGTGTATTATATACGTGATGAAAGAAAGTCGTGGAATTTTCTTCACTATGTGTGGAAGTTTTGTGAGAGAAATCAAAGGGTGGCTTTTCTTTGTATCAAATCTTGGTGTTTGTGTTTGTCCTCTCTTCATTTGGTTCTCTTCATTTCATTTCCGGACTAATTAAGTGAACTCACCGTTGCGGCGTCGGGCTGCATAGTGTTCGCCTGTTCGGGATGCTTTCTCGAGTTTTTTTTTTTCTAAGCTCTGTTTCTTAACTAATTAACAATATGATCTTTCCATCTAAACAAAAAACGGAATTAACAATTTATTTTAGAGGAGTAGGATGGTATGGTATATAACTATATACGCGCCTGCCAGAAGTAAAGGTTGCATGCATAATGAAAGAGGTTAGGTGTATGACATTTGGTGGAACACACACACACACACTCTGCTGGAAAGGAAATAATGAACAATCCTTCCTCTCATTCCATCGTTAACAACATTATTTTCCACGAACGAACTGTACGCTTAAAATATGTGGAATGCCTGAGCATTGTTCCGTATATCATGACCAGGTCTCTCTGTCAGGTCCCATAGATTCCTCAAAAAGAATAAAATAAATTAAAAGAGTATTTCTGTGTCGTTTTCTTCACGCCGTCTCCGGTATTTATCCATATTATTTGCTGAAAACGAGAGCAATTGGCATGCCAAATGGAGAACAAAAACGACGACCACCAATAAGGGCATCATCACATGCTCGCTAGATTGAACGACAGAGTTTTGGAAGTCGATCCAAATAGAGGAAGCGGAAGACAAATTCAGGGCAGCATCTATCAGACTGTTACAAATAGTCGAAGTAACGGGGGCCTACATAAACAGTTAAACACATTTCATTCCATGTACCCTGTTTTTTAATCTGGCCCCTGAAGGCTGAAAAGGAAGAAGAGAGAGATTGAAAGGGACAAAGTGCTGCGTGTGATCACATGGTTACAATCCCGCATGATTAGCACTGCCTATCCTCTCCCGAGGGCTTCTCTTTTTTACGATGGAAGATCGAGCTCAAATCCTGAATACATAAAATACGCATGCTCGCCTAGCATAATGCGTCACATCAATTGAAGAACCCTCGGTGGGAATAAGGTGTTGTACACTAGGGACCCGCGTCACAGACCAAACAAAGACGAACAAGAGGATGTGGTGGAGGTTTTTACAGGGAATAGCCACATCCCAGGGATTTTTTTTTTTTATGTAAATAAAAAAAGAATAATTAAAAAGTAAGAAAGTAAGAAGTTGGCGTTTAACTGTTTAAGAAAGAAAATGCAGGTAATGGGGGGCGCTGGACCTGGAACGAGCAGAGTGTGGGGAAGAGTGGAGGCTTTCACAAGAGGCGTGCGGGAAAACTTGCCGGTTCCAAATCCATTTGTGATAAGCGGAGTCAGGTCAAAATCTCTGACTCTCATGGTTCTCGTCGTCCTCTCCATCCCCCTGCCCTGCAATTGCCCGCCCCCATGGGATTCTCCAAGGAACACCCCTCCAGACGCCTCTCGAGGGCTCTCAAGACTCTCTTCTTCTTGATCGCCATGCTCCTCTCTCTTCTCTTCTCCGCTCCCCTCCTCCTCGTCATTGCCGACGCCCTTCTCCCTTCCGTTCTCCTCTCCGCCATCTCCCCTTCTCCTCTCTCCCTCCAAACTCTCTCTTCCCATTTCTATCGCTACGACTTTCGACGATCTCTCCTGGACATACCCCTCGTCTCCATTATAAGATCTTTCCTCATCTTCTGTCAGTGTTTATTCTTAACTCTTTTTTCGTTTTTATTGTTTTCGAGTGAGTTTATACACACTTTTGTTCGGAAAGTAATACTCTGCGTCCTGCTGTAGGCGTGTATCTCTTGTGTGATGGGCCGAGACTTTCGCGGGCGCCTTATCTGGGTGCGACGATGGCGTGCTCTGTTCTGTCAGTCATGTTTGTATCGCTGAAAGCTGTTTACGTGTTCGGCTTATCGGGTGGAAGAATGGAAGAGCCTTGGAAATAGCTCTGTTCGCGTGTTCCTATGCTCTGGCCGTGGGGCATATCGTGGTTGCTTATCGAACCAGTTGCAGGGAAAGGCGGAAGCTTCTGGTCTACAAAATTGACATCGAATCGGTGAGTGTCTCCATCTCTTTTGCCTCCCATTCCCAACAGAAATTGCATGTGTGTATCGATCAAATTTGAAAATTACAGAGAGTAGTTCATTCCTGCTGTTTCCCTTGTGCTGTGCTTGTGCGGTGGGGACGGGGAAGTGAAGTGAATAAGGCAGGCCCCACGAAAGTAGCCTTGAAAGACTAGGAAACTTGCCGTCTGGGGGCATTCATACGGATGAACTCGGTCCTCTTCTGGAAGGTCAATGTGGGGGTTGGGGATGGCGATGGCAATGTTGATTGTGGGCTACTACCAAATTCACCTTGAATGCTTCAACGCTCAATCATGATTGGCCTTGACCATTTTTTTCTTATTAATATGCTGACTTTTCAAGACACCCACGCAGACGGATCAGATGAACCAGAATGGGGCAGCTGAAAAATTGAAATGACATTTCTGTGTTAATTTGGACATCTCAGATTTTATTTAAGTTTATTTTTTCAGGTTAAATTTGATCTTTGAAAAAATAGCAGCCAGGATTTATTTTTATTTTGATTTTGAAGATGACGATGGAATTCAAATCACACTGGGTGTTGGGTAGTAGGTCAAATCTTTTATTGTTCCAAACAGTCAAATCTTGCAATTTTCAAATGATAAATTACGACGTGATCAACACTGAAGGGAGACGTGCCCCCTGACTCACGGAATTGTGATCTCCTGAGCTCAGAGAATTGGCATAAATGGGTGGATTAGTTGCCGCCCTCGTATAATTTACGATTTACGATTTACAAATATTCATGGTGTGCCATGTGCATCTAGGTCGGCTTCTTCTGAGATTACAATCTATTTTTATTTTCTAACTTTAAGCTGGTACCGTTCACCGTGCGCCATTGGAAGCAATCTAAGAAATTCCCCTGCCTTGTAAATGCGGTAATCGCATGTTTATCAATATAAAACATCCAAATTTTCATAATCAGTTTAAACAAGGAGGTGGGGAATTTAAAAAAAAGAAAAGAAAAGAAAAGAAAATAATCGCGTGTTGTATTACTATTTGGGCGCAGATTTCAGCCTGCAAGGACGGGTATCCGAGGCATCCCAAGTTTCTGCGGGAGGAACGAGTGACACGAAGCAGCTAACAGACAGAAGCACGGATCGGATGAACTGTAGATGGTAGATGTAACATAGGAGTTTTCAAATTAGCATCTTCGTTAGGCTATTCACGCTTAACTGTCCACAGCCTTAAGGTATTTTCAGGTAATATTCATTCTAAGATTAGCCTGTATATATATATATATATACATATATATGTATATATATATTGCCTTGGTTAAAAATGGAGACAGTAGCTTTATATATGTATCTGCCAAACCGTGGCTTCGGAAGTTCAAACCTAAATGCGGCATAGTTTTTCCTTTTGGCACAGGTTCATCTGAAGGATGACAGAAACCTTGACCTTATTATAAGGGCAGAAACTAACATCACATGGCACCCATGACGCATAGTGCAGTGGTGTCTAGGCGCGCGCGCGCGCGCGCACACACACACATATATGCCACGGCTCCACGCCTCATGGCCATGTTATATCTGACTTCCATTTAGTTTATTCTGTGATTTTTTTGTTTACAAGGTAATTTATAGTATATTTTCTGTGTTAATTTCCAAAAGGCCCGGTGAAGTTGAGAGGTTATGGATTGGCCATCCAGCTCAATATTTTATGGCTTCGATTGTTCAAATTTCTCCCAATATTTCTCCGTTTCTATTTTTATTTTGTGGACTAACTGGCATTGTTTTTAAAACCGGATCGGTGAACCGGTGACCCGGCCATGTGTCCGGTCCGGTTTTCTTTTTATTTTGTTTTAAGTTAACCCGGGTGATTCAGGATTAACCCGCTCAATCCCTCGGTTCAGGCGGGTTGGGCAGGTTGAAATTTAAAAAAAAAATTGATAATGATTAACCAAAATGTATATTTATTTTTGACATAATAATGATTAATGATAGGTCAATAAGAGTCATAGGGTAAAAAAAAATATACTTATGTCAGATAAGGGGATGAAAGAAGCAAAAAAAAATCAAAAAATATAAATATATATTATATTATATTATTTTTTAATTTGAATTATTTAATTAAATAATTTTTAAAATATATCACTTTCATTTATTATCTTTTATTTTAAAATAAATTTTTATTTCTATTATTTTAACTCATTGAAATTTTTTTATCATTTAGTTAACCTTATTTTAAAAAAATATAGAAATGTTGTTATACTTTATTATTGTTAGAATTATTGTTATATGTTGTATGAGATATTAAGACTTGGATATGTATGAACGTATTGAGAATTAATACATTTTTTATTTAAATTATATTATTTTATTATGACCGGTCTGACTCCGGTTTGACCTCCGGTTGAACCCATGACCCCTGACCCCTGAGTTTGACCGGTTCAATGACCGGTCCAGTTTTTAATACCTTGCTAACTGGAATAGCATACTCGTATTGTATCTGCATGTGACTGCTTCCATGAAACCGGGCCCCCGTCTCCCTACTCTCAAAGCACGGAAAATTGTTTCGAGTAATTGGTATTCTAGTAGCTTTTAACAATAATTCATATACTAATTAAATTTTTACTTTCATAAAATAATATATTAATTTTTATTTTTACTTTAATTCAAATTTATGATTAGTGAAATAAAAATCATAAATTCACAGAGAAACTAGATTAATGAAAATAGTTATATTTTGGATAAAAGGGAATATTGCTTCACGTTATAATGGAATATATAAGCCCACAAATTCAAATTAAAAAAACAAAAAATAATATAAAAAATATATACCTGTCTATAAGAATTCTTTATTAGAGTATTCTATAACTAAATTATGTTATGTTATATTATAATCTTAAATTCTATCAGAATAATACATATTCCATAATCCTATAATTATACAATTATCACTCTCGTTTTCCCCCTAAAAACATTTTGAAATTTCATGCCACTCTTTTCTCACATCATCCAGCCATCTTTCAAAAATGGAAAAATAGCAAATAAGGACAACTAAAATATATTATTTACGGACAAGGATCAATAAATTTTGAATTAGCCTTGGAGGCCATGAGGACTACTGTGGAAATAAAATTAAAATTGAAACGACAAAAATAACCCTTACGAGTTTAAAGGAAGTACAGCTAATTCAAACTTATTTTCGTCAAATAATATATGCATAAGCGTGATTTTGTTAATTTCAATTTTAATCTCATTTCTACATTAGTTCTCATGACCTGCGGAGCTATTCAGAAAGAGAGCCGTTGAATCCCCATTCTCTGAATGGGCCAGAGACCCTCCTTTACAATGTGCCCACAATCCCGGAAAGTTGTTCCCTCCGGATCCAAATGAGAAAGCTAACTCCGAATAAAGGAGCTTCGCGTGGAGGGTCTGTTGGGGTAAGTGCAAATAGCTTTGATGCAAGACGCTGGATCACAAGTTTATTCTCTAAGGTTAATTGCCTATTTCACATGTTTTTACAATTACTCTCAAGCCCTTCGGACTCTCCGAATAATAAATCTAGCCCAGCAGCGAACTTCCTTGTTAAATTTTTCCTCGTTCGTTTCGTGCCATTATATCTGGCGTGTTATGGAATCAAGGGAGAGGAGCTAAGGAGTTGAAGAATGCGTTAATGCCATCGCAGAATAAAAACTAGGGAACTATCAATATGCCACTACTAGCAGTAGTAATGTTAATATAAATAACAATAACGCTAATGACGTAACATGAAACCGGTGATGAATACCTCATCTACAGCTCGAAACTCTCGTGTTCATTCACTCAGTGGCCTCATGTCTACGCTTCACTATGATTGGATAGCTCTTCCGCGTTCTAGTGGTTGGGAAAAACACCAGCTTATCTTCCTCAGCCACAATCCAACTGCAACAAATTCAATCCTTCAGTAAAATTTCATTGTTTATGGATTGGGTTTAAGGCTGGTATAGGCATAGATACCTGAATCGGGTGACGAAGAGGTGAAGGAAGACACAGACGACGACTCGAGCGAGCTCGAAGCCAGGACACATCCTCGGCCCCCCTCCAAATGGCGTATATACATTCCCCATGCTTCCTCCTCCTGCTTCCGAGTTGCTCTGTTTCACCATTTCATCCAAATTAACAAACCAAGGCAGCAGAGAGGATCTCAAGAGTGGTACGACATAGATGAGTTATAAACCTGCCATCTCCATGGATTGAAGGAGCGGGCGTCTTTGAAATGTTGCGCGTCCAGATGGACCGCACGGAATGATGCGAACAGTTTCCATCCTTTGGGAATTGTGTACCCTGTTTATTCGTTTCGAGTCATGATCTGTTATTAAAAATGTTACCCATGTTGAATGTTCTTATTTGGTCGTTACCTCTTATGTTTATGTCCGTCATTGCCCTCCTGAATATGCCACTAATTATGTTGCCCACCCTCAGAGTCTCGTGAACAACCTGTTCATCAGCAGGGCACAATCAGAATACCGCACTCAAAATCAACACATTCCTTTGTTTCTTGAAATCACTCCATGCTTTAATTGACACGTATATTTACACTTACGCATTGAGTAAATGCCATCGACTTATAATCACTCCACTCTAAAGCTGCTCCCGGGTCACTCTTCTTTGCCCTGATTTGGTCATGCTCTTCCTGCACAAATGCCGGTCTCATTCTCGTCAGGACCTAAAACTGAAGCAGTGTGTTCTCCGAGCGACGCTCTCGGTTCAGCCACGAGCAGTCCTCAATGAATCAAATTCTCAAACGACAATGCAATTACGAATCGATTAACCTCCAATTCAATCCGAATCAATGAAAATTAAGAGTAACCATAGACACAACTACTGGAATTCAATCACATAATGATCCCCAAAAGGGAGGAGTGTAATTTGTTTATCATATATGGAATAAACAAGCGTTGAAAGTCTAAATCAGCGGGCAAGCCGAACTTTGTTGTCGGACACTGCTTTTGATTAAAAGAGGAAAGAAACAGGGTAGGACGTGTTGCCGAAAAGGGAGACGGGGTTGGAGCTTGGAAAGTGCAAGGGCGGTTGCGTAGTCCAAAAAGGGTCCTAGGAATCAAAGAGGGGTACTGGGTTTTTCAACGCTAGTCTGCGTCGCCCTCTATACTCTACAGGGAGGCTATGGGCTATACAGTGACGTCATATACATCTCGATTTCAGCGCCTGACGATTTCTCAAGGGACATTGGAGTCCGCCGAAGGAACCCAACCGAATCGGTCCATTCCCAACCCAATCGTTCTGCAACACGCCGAGTCACTCGGAAAATGACTCTTACAGCCCCACATTCTGACTTCACTTTTATGTTGTTTACCTCCTTCCCAATTGTAGTTGTTTTGTCGTTTTTGACAGCAAGAGACAGCGAAGCGTGCGGTTCAGTTGTCTTGATTTTGTCCCTTGCTCCTGGGTCTCGGGCCCATGTTTCTCCCTCTTTGACTTTACGCTCTCTTCTTTTGACCGTCGTTTTCACCTGCCCATGCGGTAAGCTTCACCTCCAAGAACTTACCACTTGACAGTGACACCCGAGAACAAAAGACTTTAACCCTTTTGCTCTTCGGAGACAGGATCGATCGGATGTACAAGCCAATTCAGTCTTGACCTCGAAACTAAATGTCAATGATGACTAACAAAACCAAAAATCTCTCTGTTTTTTAAAAATAAAGTTTGAAACTCAACCATGACCATAATGGTAAAACAAAAAAAAAAAAGGACCATGAGACTTTAAAACAAAAAGCGGAGTGCGTGATGAAATGGGATTTAGTTACTGTTGTAGTGGTAGCGGGTACATGTGATGAGACGAGATGGGAGAGGTCAACACATGATTGGAGATGTGAGGGAATTTTGAACATACAGCAGTGAAAAGTCTCGAGGACACACACACACAGTTACACACAGGCTTTTCACTGCATGTCTCTAGACATTCAACGTACCCACAAACCAACAAACACGCCACCACATCCATCCAATCTTTTTTGTGATGATTTGTTCTCCCTCTTGGCCCCGTCCCCTCCAAGAAAGATAGGGTATACATTCTACTTCACTCTAGGCCGCATCAGGATTCCACTGCCCCGGCCAGCTCCTTGAGGACTCCCTCTCGCTTCTCTTTTAATTTAAGTTCATCACTCGTGTAGTCTCTCTTCTCTTAAAGTCTAGGTTTTTATTTTGGCATATTCTCCTTCACTGTAGTGCTTTTTTTTTTTTTAACAAAAACGCAAAAAATAAATACTCAATCGTGGAGTATTTAGTAATGATTAATTTTTTTTCCCCTTAGCAATTACTAACCTTGAGCTGGGCCAGGGCAAGAGGGGTTTCCGTGAGGAACTTGACGGCGACGGTGATGATGGTGGAGGTGGTTTCGTAGCCGGCGATGAGCAGTGCCAGCATAAAGTCGACAATTTGGTCGTCAGAGAAGTGGTCGTCCGAGGCCAACAGTGCGCCCAACATGTCATTGATCATTCTCTGTCCTCTCTCGTTCTCTCTTCTCCTCTGCCTCACCACGGCTACCAGTGCCTCCGCCACCTTCGTCCTCGCCTTTATGGCTCTGCGGTATGTGGTTGAGAGGAGACGTGTGGGGAGCGTGAAGAATCCTTCTATCACCAGAACGTACTCTTTCCTCAGACTCTCGCTCCATTCACCTGGATCCAGGCTCATCAGCTGCTTCACTGTTAACTCAAATGTTATCTGCATTTGTTCCACAGTTCCCGTCATTTCTTATTCCTAATTAATAATTAATTGCCGTCATATGAATGTCCTACACTAAAAACACATTCGGCGAAATGGAAATAAAATAAGTGAGATGTCAAGCAATGGAGAGTAATGTCCTCTGTGCATATTCTCACACACACACACACACACACGTGCCTGCTCTATGTGATTATGACCTGCGGAGGGAAGGACTTTAATTGCTTCTTCGGTTTAAAAGTGAAGATATTATGTCCACATGAATGATGAATTTTATTTATATGAGATTCACAACCTTATTTTTTTAAAATGAATAAATTAAATACACAATGATAGTGCAGAATGCAGACTTTTGAATTGAGAGGGATTTGACTCAGCAGTCAACTTCCCGTCTCGCAAAATCCGTTTTAATTTTGCGCATAAACCCTTTTTTAGTGGGTTTATCATACCCGGGACGATGGACCGGGATCTGGGTCGCCTCCCAATTCCCATCTTGTGAACTGTGATGCATATCTACAGTACATTCTCACCTTCAATCTCACAATAATCCTCACAGCAAAATATAAAAATTATAATAAATGAAACAAAAATAAAACAGAATGAAAAAGAAGTTATCCGGAGCCAGCTAGACCAGCAGTAGTGGCTAGTGACCTTTGAACTAAATAAGCAAAACCAAGAAAAGTTTCAAGGTCCACCACCTCCCAGCCCCAACACTGTGACGACATTAATTACTGACGGTGATGGAAATCGCCCAGTTGACTCGGTACACATTGCTGCCGTTTAAAGGTTCAAGTCTTAACATATAGTATAATCATGCGCTCGATCAAGTTTAGTCAAGTACCTTCTTGGCCTCGTCCATGAGAAAGACCCGATCGGTCCAGGAATCCAAGTTAAGCCCGATAAGGCGGTCTATGTCGACAAGAAGATGATCCCTGATGATGGCGGCGTTGGCAAAGCTCATCGTGAGGGAGTGCATTCTCTTGTGGAGAGCGCCCTTCATGAGGAGCAAAGAGTGCTTCCCCAGAAGGTTCGAGATCGAACCGGGGTAGCTACAATCGAAGAGCTTCCCCTCGTTGAGGAGAATGAACCGGTTCATCTCCGGGTCGGCCGAGAACACGGTCGGCTCGCCGAACACGTGGGTGGTGAAGATTGGACCATACCGCTCCACCCGCCGGTCGATGAAAGGCTCCGGGTCATGGCTCTTATAGGCAGAGATTAGCTGCAGGGTCTCGCCGATGAAGGGCAGGCCCAAGCTGCCCGGCGGGAGCCGCAGCATCCGGCAGCGCATCTCCCGGAGGAGCGAGAGACAGAGGGCGAAGAAGAGGAATGAGCAGAGGAGAGGGAGCAGTAAAGCCATGGAGAGGAGGAAATGATGCAGTAACAAAATCAGGAGGAGCTGCATGTACAGGAGATGGGGAGTGTTATATATATATGGAGAGAGAGAGAGAGAGAGAGAGAGAGAGAGAGAGAGAGAGTGATACTGATAGTTTTCAGGGGAGGGTAATTCCAAATGGGTGGAGCTGAAAGAGGAGAGGCACACGAGGGGGAGGAAATAAATGTCGGATTTTATGGCATCTGACAGCTTTTTTCTTAATTACGTCTCTCTCTCTCTCTCTCGGGGTGGGAAAGTATGGGGAACGCTTTCCCTGCCCCCTTTTACCCTTTTGAATTTATTAATTAATGAGGTATGCAGGAAGGGGGGAGAGAGAGAATCAAAATTTTGGAATGCTTACAAAATGGAAAATTTTGAGAAAGAGGATTGACGCGTGTATGGGAAATCCGATACGAGGGGGACTAGAGCTTCAGCAAGGGAAATAACCGGCTGACGAGTTAAAGTGCCTCTGCGGGTGGGCTCCACCATGATTTGGACTGCTGACGCTGGATTGGCATGCTCAGCATCTTAATAGATAGAGCGGGCAAGACCCAGGCTGTTGGCTCACATGTATGTTTAGTCTCGATATTTGACTTCCGATACACGCGCGCGCGCGCACTCGCACCTTTTTATTGGGGATGGGGGGGTGTAAGAGTAATGATTCAGTCCATGACTTTATATTTAAAACATGTTGGATCTATGAATTAAGAGGAGTCAAAGTTCGAGGGGACTGACTGGCGGAGGATAGTTTCCACGCACGGGACAGCATGTGCGCTCAAACTTCAAGGGAGAGTCTAAATTAAGTTAACGGGAGGCCTGAAGAGGGGGGCGTGTGGTTGTTTTTTGTCTACGATGACGACGACGACGATGATATTATAAATTATAGATTGCCCATAGAAAACTACTGAAAGAGTGAGGAGGACAAAAGCAATGTGGCCATAAACTGGCCTCAATTTTCAAACCAGCCCCTTTTCACATACACTGTGCCTCTAACTTGGATACAATTAATAAATCAGAGAGCCATTCTTTTGTTCAGCGCGCACAAAGTAAGCAATACACCGTTGAACTTGAACAGAAGGGATTTGTTGGAGACGAATAGGATGAGGAAGAGTGAAAAGAAGTGGTGGGGCGATGGGGGAATGAAGTATCAAATGAAGACGATAACATGGACCCCACGGGACGCAAATGGGTAAGATGCTGGGTGATTAACTCGGGCGGGAGAGAATCCCGTCATGTGTGAGGTGTATGGGGGGCATGACCTGTCTAACTTTTCAGGCTGGACGCAAATCTCATCACGTACGCCAACATTATTCTCGCTTGGAATAAGAATTTTGTGGCTCTGTGTTTTCCTGTTATAGTGCTTTCTGGTTATATGTAAATGATGGTAGGGTTGACCGGTTGAGGTTATAACAAGGTGAAGTTGGAGGAGGAGACAGGAGGAGTGTAGGCGCACGTGCACTCCACATGCTCCTTCTGCTCCGTCTCTGTTCCTGCACTCGCCCCCTCCCCCCTCTTATATTTCATTTTCTCCAATCCAATCATTCGCATTCACTGTTTCTTTGCTTCATGTGAACTGCCCTGCATCTTCCTCCACCATTCAAGCTAGGGCTGTGTTTGGGCAGGGTCGGGTAGGGCAGTCCCTTAACCCGATGCCCTGCCCTAAATATTTTTGAGCAAGCAAACCAAGCCCAAAGCCCAACCCTACCCGAAAAATGCCCGACTTTAGAAGGGCCGGGTGGGCAGGGTTGGGTAGGGATTGGGCTCATCAGGCAAGGTCTCTAGCCTTGCTCAGAAATTCATCATGAAAAAGTCTAAAACAATATACTACACACCTAGTAGACACTAGACAATATAAAATGATATTTCACCACCAACAACAATAAAGGAAGTGAAAAATAGAAGATAAACATAACATGATAAAATTCATCATAACACAAAGAGATTTCTCTAATAATTCAAATATGATCCAGTCATCTATAAACAAAAATAGCCTTTTAAAAGGCCATAGATCTATCTTCCACAAACATCAACCATCAAGCCATCAAGCCATCAACCATCACCACAATAAGTTTTCAAAAGCCACAAGTCAAATAGTCTAATAATTCAAAGTTCAAACATAAAATTAATCCTAAAAAAAATCCAACATAAACTAGACAAATTAAGTTGCCAATACCCATTTGGCCATTCCTCCTAAGGTTGAAGCTGAACTACTGAACCATCACATCAAGAACCTGAAATAAAACAATAAGAAGAATTAAATTTATATGACAATTTATAATAGAAAAAATAAATTAATTTAACAAAACTACCATATTGAGTATTCAAGCAACAATCTTTGTCCCTCTTTCAACCATCCACAGTCATAGTATCATAGTGTCCTCCTTCAATGACAGTAGTTACTTCTAAAGGAAAAAGAAATCAAATTAAAAATATATCCAACACTGTACAATAGCTAAAATCAATATTCACAGCACAGAAAAATATATAAAAAAATCAAATTAAATTAAAAATATTACCAAATTGAACAACATGATCTGTCTCTTCAAATTGTCAAATTCACGCAACTTATTAGCAAGTTCCGTGAGTGATGTTCCAGGTAGGAGCCAATTTTGAGCATAAATCAGTGCTTCAGTCATTCGAGGAGATAGTGAACTCCTATATTGATCAACTACTCGCCCTCTGGTGCTAAAAGCAGATTCAGATGCGACTGTTGACACTGGAATAGCCAACACATCTCTGGCCATAAGAGAAAGAATTTTATATGTAGATGCATTTGCCTTCCACCATGACAAGATATCAAACGCTGCACCAAAACCAAACACGATCTCAAGATTAGCTGCAAGATATTTGTCTAACTCTATCTGATCATTATTGGAAGTCTTCTGCTTTTGTGACTCCAGCCATAGAACACCAGGGTCATTATCATCATCTAAAGAGTCATCCTCTAATGAAATCACCCCTCATGGTGTAGATGAAGAGGGGATACTTGATTCCAAACTTACTCCAGCTGAATACTCATTATACAAATGATACAAGCAATCTTTCACCCTCATTTTCATAGTTGCACATACATCTGAATCAATGTAAAGCTGCTCAAAAACATGATTCACATAAGCCAATTTGTATCGAGGGTCTAAAATTACAGCAACCATCAATAAAGGATTCATATTATCAGTTTGACCCCAATACTTCTCATATTTTGTTTGCATGCTAAGGCTTATGTCCCCAAGGAGAGGATCAGCATTCAATATATTTTTTTGCAACAAATTCTGCACACGTGCAATTTGATGGAAGCACGTGTTAGATGTCACATTCAATGTAGAAGAAAACATCAATGTGATATCATAAAAAACCTTCAAAAACTTGAGGAAGATACGGGCTCTACTCCAATCCTTTTCCTTAGGATATTCACATCTACACAAAAGGCCGATTGGTCACGCTTAAAGATACGCTCATCCTCCTCATTAATTTTAAAGTGAGCACGATATTCATCATCTTCATCATGCATTCTTTCAAACACTTTTTCAAACTTCAAAGCAGATTCAAGTATCAAATAAGTAGAATTCCATCGTGTAGAAACATCTAAGCATACAAGGCTTTTAGTGTCCAATTTCTCTCCATCAGCCCAACTTTTAAATTTAAGAAACCTAGAAGGAGAGGAACGAACATACCTTATAGCATTTCTAATGGAATCAAAGCTCTCTTTTAACTCCTTCAAGCCTTCATTCACCACCAAATTCAACACATGAGCATAGCACCTCAATTGTAAGTACTCGCCATCACATACTAACCCCTTCCAAGCCTTAATCCTCCTCTTTAAGTATGCTAAAGCTGTGTCATTAGCTGTTACATTATCCATAGTTATTGTGAATACCTTGTTAATCTCCCAATCTAACAAACACTTCTCAATTGTCTTCCCTATTGTTTCACCTCTGTGATTTTCAATCATACAAAAATTCAAAATTCTCTTATAAAGTTTCCACTCAGGGTCAATAAAATGTGCAGTCACACACATGTAGTTGAAGTTTTGATTGGATGTCCAGCAGTCGGTAGTAATACAAACACGATGAGCACACTTCTTTAAAGCCTTCTTTAACAGCTTCATTTCTCCAAGAAATAACTGCCAACAATCCCTTGTCACAGTTGTTCTTGTAGGAATTAAAAATCTGGGTTCTAATTCATGCATCAATTTTCTAAATCCTTCCTTCTCAACAATCCTAAAAGGCTGCTCATCTGTAATTATAAATTCACAAGTGCTCTTCGACATCTCTTCTCATTATATGTGTGAGGAATCAAGCCTCTTCCTTGTCCTTGCATGCTTGCCCCTCCTTGTGACACATAATTCAACATTGATTGCTTATTGTCTGTTATGGCTTTGTGTAGGTTCTTGAGACATTTAGGTATGTGCCTTTTCAAGGAATTTGTCCCATGCTTAATTGGGTCATAGGCATATGTGGTGTGGCAATATTTGCAAGCTGTTCTATACTCCCCATTTGTCTCTTCTAATGGCAATCTAAAAAAAAATTCCCAAACTTGTGATGATTTTGGTGTCCTCTTTTCAGGTTCTTTTGTCTTTTGACCCTTACACTCTGCTTCCTGAGAGGCTTTTGCAGTGGTACTAATAGGAGGTAGAGGAGGTAATGAAGATGAAGGCATTAGAAGAGGTGCAATCGGATCAGGATTAATCCCACTTTCATCTTGGGGAGAGGGTATAGTCATAGGTGTGAATGGAGTAAGGTTAGCATTAGGACCCGTGGGAGCGGAACTAGGACTGTCGTGTGCTACATATGGAGAAGGAGTAGAAGTAGAATTTTGTTCTTCCATTTTTGTGGCCTAACAAATAATTTCATTAAACTAAAAACAGAACCAGCACAAGAGTAGGCCAGCATATCGATGAACCATTAAAAAACGAGCAGAAAAATTAAAATCGTTTTCAATTTAATCAAAACAAAACAAAAACAGAGATCTCACAAAGAAAAGAAACAATCCAACAGCAATGATACTTGAGCTTCGAATAGAGAGAGTGAAAGAGAACAACTTCGAACAAAGAGAGTGAAAGAAAAGAACAGGTATGAAGAGAAGAGACCATTTACCTAAGCCTCGAGGAGACGAGTTGAATCAATTGATAAACTCGAGTGCAATGAGACGAATGATTCTGAACTCTAAAGCTGCTAACCCGAGTCCAAGATAGAGGAAGCTCTGAACTCTGAAGTTGCCAATGCCAAACGAAGGAAGCTCGGAAAGATCAAGGGACAGATAGCGACGCCGGAGATGAAATCAAGAGAGAGGGACAGAGAGCGACGTCGGAATGCAATCGAGATAGTAGAATAGAGAGTGACGCGGAGATGAAATTAGATTCAGCGGCTGTGCGAGTATGCAGCAGGAAGCAGGGAGCAGGCGAGCAAGGCTATGAGCACCGAGCAGGCGAGCAAGGCTGTGACTTGTGAGCACCGAGCAAGCGAGCACTATTTGTTTTGTATCAAATTCAAATCGAAAATGGGAGTGATCGAGTGAGAGAATTGAGACTTAGGGAAGTTAGGGTTATAATATTTTCATTTCCATTCATGCCCCTTACCAATTTAACAAATTACATAATATATTAATATTTTTATTAAAATATATATATATCTCGGGTCGAGCTGGGTCAATTGGTTGGATACCCTAACTCTAAACCCTGCCCAACCTGAATTTTGGGTTCAGCCCGACCATGCCCAATCAGTGCTGGGCACATTGTTTAGGGCTCGGGTCGGGCATATTTAACTCGGGTCGGGCATTACGGGCACATGGGTATCTTGCACAGGCCTAATTTAAGCCATCCGGAGCTTTTCCAACTTCTCCCACTAGATATGCCGGATGCATGTGTGGACGACTCGCTTCAAATTCATGCCAACACACAAATTATTACATCAAACCTGATAGGTTTAAAAACCCATATCTAGATCTGAGCCATGTTTTAATGACAAACTAATTAACTGCATGCGATGCCAAAATTTCAAAATTATTATTATTATTATTATTATTTTGTTTCGGTCAGGCAGCCTGCTGAACACAATCCTTACTTTAAAGGCAATACTCGGGCTTTAGAAGCGGCATCCTTTATTGTCAATAATAGCGATGATCGGCTTGGATGAGGAATGGGTTTTAATCTGCCATGCATTGTTGGCGTGCTAGATGTGTCCGTCGGGTTGGATCGACAGAGTCAAATACTCCGAGCCTTTAACTCTCACTTCCTCGGGCCAATATCCGCAATAGTCTCTAGCCCCCTCTAGATTTAACTTCCAATTTCATTCTGCGTCTCAACCCGCCTCTCCTTTTCCTTTGAAATCTTTTATACTTTTTAAATAAAAAAATTAAATAAATACAAGGTTTTAAAATTGAAATTTTAAATTTAAATTTAAATATGAAATCTTGTACGCTTTCCAAACAAAACATTTAAATTTAAATTTAAATCTATCATCCAAACACGATCTTAATTTAAGTAAATAGAGAACTGCTTATTTTATAACATCTTTTGTCCAATCCTTTTTTGTTGATATTTATGATTAATTAGATTTATTTTTTACATTTCTATTTATATCATTCATGTTTTTTTTAATTTTATTAGAACTGTTTTCAATATGATTTTATCACAGCATATCATCAATACTTAATATTTTTATTTAACTCAATATTATTTATCATTTAATCGATTTTAGAATATTATAATTTTAGAATTTGTTGTATTTAACAAATACGATGAATTGAAATAAGCAAGTTGTTTTGTATATGTAGTTGTTGATGTTTTACCAATATTCTAGAACAAGTGATCAACGACGAATAAATCTTGAATGTTTTGATTTTCTAAATAAACTAGATTTATTGTTAAATAGAACAATATATATTTTAACTAATAATTAAAATAATGAGATATAAAATATTTCTCACTGTTGATTCGTTCTCTGAAGCTGCAATTTAACTTGCGGAAAAGCCGATGGGACGCGGAACAATTACGACGATGTCGAATTAATTAAAACACTAGTAAATGGTAAATACAAAATAGTTTCTTAGATCTTATTTATCCACAAAAGCAGACTCAGCCAAGTCAATGGCGCGAGCAAGACCGGCAGCTTTGTTCTGACACTCTTGGTGCTCACTCTCAGGCACACTGTCAGCCACGATACCAGCACCAGCTTGAAGATGAGCGACCCATTCCTTGCGCTGGTTCTTGCCTTTATACGAGTAAATGGTGTCGTATCTAGTTCCTGTTTGAAATACCATTGTCCTGAGAGCTAGTGCAATGTCCATGTCCCCAGCGAAAGAGATCCACCCAAAGCCTCCACTGTAAGGACCACGCCTTACCACCTCCATCTCATCTATCAGCTCCATGGCCTTCACCTGCAACCAACCCCCGCCCAATAAGATTGAAGACTTATTATCATGCCATGGGATAGAAGCAGGAGCAGATTAAACATCTTTATCGTGATCAATTGGCATGGCATGTTGTAGAAAAGAAAACGTTAGAAGACAACAGAAATCAACCTTTGGTGCTCCGCTAACAGTTCCAACAGGTAATGCAGCACGTAGGACATCCCATCCTGTCAAATGGTCTGGCAACTCGCCCGTGACCTTTAAATCAAATAAATAAGAATTATTAATTCAATGAATATTGAGGGTTGACTCACAGTTTGACACATGCTTTGTTCATAGTTGTGTCCAATTGGACAAATGAACACTTGAAATCAAACTTCAATCTCGTTTCAAATTACAAATGTTCTCACCGTTGAGCTCATGTGCATGACATGGGAATACCGTTCCACATTCATAAGCTTTTCCACTTTCACGGAACCATGTTTTGAGACCTGAACACAACTTCAATAATCAGAATCATCAAAGTAGACATTCCAAATTATGCCTCTCTTACTAGCCAAAAGACATAAATCCTCAAGAAATCTATCACAGTGAATATGAACAAGAATGGTAGAATTCACACTAAATATAATAGTGCAAACTGTTACATAGAGAGTTTGAAATAGCCGGGTATTCATCAAAAATCAAGCAAGTTATAGAACAAACCTTGCCAACGTCATTGCGTCCTAAATCAACCAGCATGATATGTTCTGCGCATTGCTTTTCATCGCTCAGAAGTTCCACCTCTAACTTTTTATCTTCTTCTAAAGTCTGCCCCCTCTTAACTGTCCCAGCCAATGGACGATTCACTATCTTATTCTGTTGATGTCAAGATCATAATAAAATTCCCCATTCAAATAAAGGTTAGAGCGATTTGATAAAATTAATATGACGTCTTGGTGAATATCCAACAAGTATAACAAGTTTAGAGCTACCTTCTTTACTCGAGTAAGAATTTCAGGACTTGAAGCAGCTAGAATACATCCTCGGGCCTGTTTTAAGTAAATACAAATCTATAATAATAGTAACAACAACACAAGTACGTTCTAACTTACTGAACCGAATGAATACTATAGGATGGCCGAAGAAAACCTGCAAATAAGCCATATATGGACTCGGATTGACTATTCTCAGTGCTCTATATATCTCAAAAGGATCAGCAAATGTTCTGCGCTCAAAACGTTGACTCAATACGATCTGGAAAATATCCCCTGCCTCAATATGTTCTTTTGCCTTGAGGACTGCCGCCTTGTATTCTTCGCTTGTCATGCTCGACTTCTTTAAAGGAGGACCAAAACGTCGAGTCTGCAAATTCACATAGCCTGGAGATAGCCTTGGGCTATCAATTGAAAATAAAATTAATTTGACTTCAAAATTATATTAAATTATTAAATACGAGATTTGATAGCTTACGGCTCAATATCCTTTAGTCTTGACACTAACTTTTCCAGCCGTTCCATCCCATCTTTGTAAGCATCCTCGACTGAGGAGTATCGATCCAGCCTCACCCAATGAATCACGTATGCTTTCTATTTGGCGTTGAACAAAGAAGCAATTGAAACAATAAAATAAGTGTTGTAAGTTATTAATTAATATTTCAAGAATCCCATAGATCATATGTCCTTGTGCATTTCAGTAATCGTGGGATAATCACGAACTTTAAATGTGTTGAATGAAAAATGACCTATCATATGAACTCCATGCGTTATTCAGTACCTACACTCAACTACAGTACTTCTCAGGAATTCTATCCCATACATATGTCTAAAATTCTATGTGTCCAACGTGATGACTAACAGAAGGAGACAGTGCGAGACTGCTGAACTTTTCAGAGAATAACTAATTTTTCTTCAGAAATAGCCAAAGGAAAGATACTTAGGTCATACCATGTTACTCTATGCTGCAAAGTAGGCATGCAGACCTATGTCATCTCATCACTTATTGATGTTGCTTATGAAACAGAAAAATAAATACCTTCTCCACATGATCGAACACGACCACATCCTCATAGAGGGCCAGATGCATGTCTGGAAGGTTTCTGTCGTCCTCTGGAGCCTTTGAAAATGGTAGCTTTTTCTTTTCAACGTAGCGAACTGTGTCATATGAACAATATACCACCCAGCCACCTGTAGCGCCAGCTTATGTTAGAGTTTTGCAGATAACGATATAAGCACAGCAAATGCACCGCTTATGCCCAAAATTAAAGCTAAATAAATAAATAAATGCACGTACAAGGACCAAAAACAGTGGCATGTAGCTGGATTTGGCAGAACACGGGGACAAAATCTTATTCAAACGCAGTTAATTCGGTTTTGCAAAGTCACAAGGTTTAATTTTCAGAAAACATCGCTATACCCAAAAAAATGCACAAGAGAAATGCTGATATAATGCATTCAAGAATTTCACACGTGCATCTATTTAACCTTCGTGGAAAAAAGAAAGTATTAGATTTTTTTTTTCCCTTAAAAAAAATCAACGTGCATTGAAACATAAAGTGTTTCCAAGCCTGTATCGTCAAGCTATTAACCCCAGCATGTAGGATTTTTCGTTTTCTTCAATTAAATTGTACGTCATTCAATGATTCAACACACCACCTGTCAGCGTCCATGCTTTCTTCATATAATCAAATAAAAAAGTTCAGTCTCATTGCTTCATATGTATATTAAACTATTTCTAGTTGCTTTCACTTTGGCAAACAATAGAATTGTACCCTTTTGTGCCACTCCCTCTTTCCCCGACAAGCTGAGATAGCGACGTTAGTATGAAGTGTGAACGTCCATTATTGGAGCTATTCTCGAAAAAACCTCATTTCAGAGAACCAGTATCATAAATACAACAGATTACACTTACCATTGAATGCATCCGGAAGCTTATCAGTGAGACAGGGTTTCCAACCCGTTGCTATTCTTTTAGGAATAGAGAAAGGATCATCAACAATTTCCTCAGTCATGTGCCCGAATTCATGGTCTGTTATTGTAACTTTATTTTCCTTTGCAACAACTTCCATGGCGGGTTGAGCTCCAACAACACTATAGCGCCCCTACAATCAATCAAACCCCGAATTTCTGATATATAGACAAACGATTAGTAAATTCAAAATCAAGAAGCGGTGTAAGAGCACTCACAACAGTTACTTGGACATTAGGCTCTACGGATTCAAAAAGAAAGCTCGGAGCCTCCCGGTCATCTTCCTTAACCAAACACTGGTATGCAAGAACAGGGGTAAGCTGGTCAGAGAATATGCATTGATAGAGAGGAAACAAATTTCCATGTTTTGAAGCCTCAACAAACTTCCTTTCAACATCACCAACTGCAAAAGAGGTAAATGCTCAGGCCATAGACGGTGCCGATAATGATCAGAACATAACAGAAAAGGCCGAACAACTTTTGCAACCGAGCCCCAAATGATTCATGAAGACCCACCTTCCCATTCGATAGGGTTTAAGCTTTTAGAACGAAATGATCATCGATATAATATCAAAATTTCTACAGTGGAATAGTTAATAATTTGGTCTTCATCACTTTAACTGTCCATATTAAAAATAATTTTAGAGCGTACGTGAATTAATCATTTACTAACACATGAAACCCTAATCATTGTCCAAAGAACAGGAAACCTAAATGGCTCTAACATTCTTGAAAACCATTATGTGTTCATTTGAATTTGAATTTGGGTATAATAAATTATAAAAATAATTGATTAAATGATAAATTTTAATTATAATTAATTATATTATAACACAATGTATTTGGACTGCTCATGTTAATAATTTTTTAAAGATTCAAATTTTATTAAAAAAAGAAGAGAAAAAGTTTCGTTTTAATTTTATTAAATTTTGTTCCTGTTTTGTGATTTTTTTTTTAGACCTTTAATGTAATTTACCTATATAACTTTGTAACAAAAACACGCAGAAGTCGAGAAGTTGAAATTTGGAGCGTTGGGAAAAAATCAATTTTTTGGAAAAAAAATTAATTTTGGAAAAAGGTGGGTGTTTGAGTAAATTATGACTTAATCAAATTTTTTGCTTCTAAAATTAATTAATTACTCAATCCAAACACGCACTATAAAATTATAAAACTATTTATGATGATGAGAGAGACCTTGACAATTGACAGTTCCATTATTCGGAGTCAATAAAATGGTAACTCAATTTTAACAGAGGTTTTTAATTGAAATACGAAAATACCAAAATAAAGCATACTTCTTGGTAAATCACAGAGAGAAGGCTGGACTGGTAGTTTCAAGTCATTTTGGTTCTACATTGATCAAGGTGAGCACAATTTCTAGTAAAATAAACAATGGGGAAAAAAGACACGAGTGAATGGTCACTTACCAGTGGATGGGGCGGAAAGGGAGGAACACCGGATGGAAACAGGAGCAGAGGAGAGTGAGGTTCCCAAGGAAACGGCGGTGACTGGCGGCGGAGAGAGTGGGACGCGGAAAGGAAGCACGCTGTGGGAGAAGCCGAGGGCGGGGACGGTGAAGTTATTGGCAGACATGGGGGTGGTGGAAAGAAGTCGGGAGGCCATATCTAGAAAGGAAGTTGCAGAAAGCTGGAATTTGGGGCGAGAGGCGGGGGACATTTATAGGACTGGGACGGAGCATGCATTGAATTGGTTGGCCCTTCCTCCCTATTTCCACGGAGGCCGGGAGTTATAGGAACGAGGAGATGTATGGAATAAAGTTCTATATGAACCAAGAAGGCAGGAATGAAAACGGTACACCGCACAATCACCTTCTTCTCATTCCCTCTCAAGGTTGCGGAATTGTAGATAATTAGTTTCCCGCGGAAGCCTTCTTGTTAAAATTAAAATATGCCAGAACTGATAGCTAATTTTAAACTCAATGAAGTTTCCATATTTACTTATGAATTGCAATTAAAATATGCATAAAAAGGTATGTAATTCTAAAGGATAATGTAAAGTTTTTTTTTTTTAATACAATGAAGGTCATAGTTAATTAAGAACATTTTACCACTCTGGACGAAGGGAGCATTGTATTGTTGGAATTGCAGGAGCGGGGATTGAAAACGTGTTTCAACACGTTTGGCCAAACAAAGAAAAAAGAATTAAGATAAGTCTGACGTCATAAATATATATTTAAAACAAAGGTTAATTGAGAAAATTGACTTGATAAAAGATCGTTAAATTAGCAGACAAGTAAATCGGGCGACCAAAATGAATCAGTTACTTTATTTAGTAGGCATGAGAGGCATCTTGCCTGAACGACAGAATTAATCTCCGCTTCCCCTACTCATGTGGCCAAAACCCGCGTCTTTTGATATTTGGTTATTGGCCACTTTATGAGCTCTTTTCTCCTATTATCTTTTTCTTTCTTTTTCCTATGCTTATCGCAAAACTATGATTATTTTCATCTTCAAGCTGCAAATATTATCATTCAATCTCAAATTATCATGCATGAACCTGGTGCACCACATTATATATGTTACATTCAATAAAATCATGCCATTCATATAGTTGTAAATATAAATTAATTTTGTCATTAATGACAGTTATGAGAAAAATAATAATAAATTAAATAGTCATTATATTCTAAAAATAAAATCAATTGAATAGAGTATGAATGTGATGGTATACTAAATCTATACAAAAATCTTTCATTTGATCATTAATTACTTTTTCTTTTATGTCTTTATTGCCTCTCAAATTTACACATCACCAATTACTCAATGTCTCACAATTTTAAAATATTGGACTTGTCATGTTTCTTTTTCTTTTTCTTTTTTTTTGTTTGAACCATTTTGTTAGTTCTGGATTGAAAACAACCTCTAATATTTATGTATTTATTTAGTTTTTAACTATAAGGGGATTCAAGAAAAATTGAGTGCTTTTGAATAAAAGAAGCTTTTGAACCTTGAACTTCTCCACCTGCACCCTGCTGCACATCATTATTAAGGTATAAACAAGCATCCCATGGCTAACATTTATAACAGATTTTAACAATCCTGATATGAATAAGATTTAATGTTGACATCAAAGTAAAATACTAATGTTTAAAATTTATAGATATCATCTATCTTCTTTTATATACATACACACAGGACAATTTTTTATCGTGGTTACTAGTCAACTTCTGAATTTTAAACAAGTGATGCTATAAATCAATAACAATTGCTATCATTCATTTTTTATTTATTTTTTATCTTTAAACTTTAATTTGTTTGATTTCGTCTCGCTCAATGTAAGTTTGAATTCAACATGGTTTTAATATAATATAATGTAATTTGATTAAGGGCAAAACTTATACACTTAAGGTTAGGTCTTGAATTTACTTTCTTCTAGTAAATTGATGCCACTTAGATGATTTGTCCAGCTCACCAATTAACTCTCCTTAACAAACTTTTACACCGTTAGCATTTAAAAAAGAAAAGAAAATAAGTAAATTAAACCTAACTATTGTTCCAATCAATCCTTGTCCCAATTATTCATCTCTCTGCCGCTCTCTCAATGTCTTCTTTTTTCATTCATCGTGCTTGTCTACAATTTGTTTAAATTAAAGAGACTGATAGAGATTGAGAGAATTGGCTTCATCAAAATACAGACGGCACTAAGTATTTTTGACACTCCCTTACTGCCTCTTTGAGCTTATAACGATTTTTGAACAAGTGCTCTTACAGCAAAGCAAGAAAGAAGCAAGAAGAACAAGTGAATGGCTTTGTGTTTTGCATCAATATTGCATCGCTAGAACAAGGGTGAGAGAATTTATTTATTTATTTATAATTTATTTAATTTGTATTAAATTTATGCTATCACTTGTTCTTCATATTTAATTTATGTATAGTTTTGTTTTTTCTTCATAATATTATCATTATAAATTTTATGCCACCAAATCCACAGCTTGTTTTGATCTTTATTTTATAGTTTTTAACGGCTTTGTGTTTGTGTCAATACTACATCACTGGAACAAGGGTTCTCTATCTACATATGGAGAAGAAGAAGAAGGTAATGGAATAGAATAGAGTGCTCCTGCTCTGTTTTCTCTGCGTTAAAGCTTCTGGAATGAGAGAGATAATAGAAGCTACCCATATATATATAGGTCGATAAGCTGTAGGTGCAGATTTGGAAGAAAACCAAGCAAGTTTAAGAATATAATAAATTATAAAGTTCTATGTACTATGTATGTGTTTGTTACATACACGCTGTCATGAAGTGCCTCAAGTGTGTTCAATGATAAACGTATCAACATCAATTTCATTATCAAGTGCCTCAAGTGTGTCCAATGATAGGCTTTCACATGTTTGAATGTATAAAGATGGAGAAACATGCCTTTAGATCTTTGATTATTTGATAATATAATGGTCGTGAGATTTGATTGTGCAGTTCGAGTGAGAATAGAAGTAACAAATACATATTTTCTTTGTATTGTGTATTTGACTGTAAAATATCTTCTTGGTCAATAACAATAAGCACAATTAAACTATTCTAAAGTAAACTTAGAAAGTGTAAGTTCCAATCAAGCAAGCACTCTTAGTTAAAAAAAAACTAAACTAAATTATTTTTAGCTACATATCCTAAAATACAAAAAAGGAAAAAATATGATCTATATGGCTTTGGGTAATTCCAATACAAAACCATTGAATACTAAAAGCAACAAAATATTTATTTTTCCACTTCATTCCAAAATGTTACTCCTTGCTCTAGAAATCGCTAGATAGTGATGATTTCATATGTTAGCCTGAGTTAGATATGAAATGAAAAATATCAACAAAATGATGTGCGTATAAGTCAAATAATCAAAGACATATACATGATTTTAAATAGGCATAAACAATATATACACTTGTGACATTGCAAGAGCTGATAAATTCATAGGTGCATCATAGTCAAGACATGCTTGTGATGTTAATGCCTATATGTAAAATAATTAAAATTAATATAATATTATAGGCATAAAAAGGTTAATTGAAGACAACAAAATTAGTCTGTGCCTAAACCTGTGAGTGTCATCTTTTCTTTGATTTCTTTTCTACACAACTTTTTGGATAACCTTTTGTGCGAGATACACCCTCTTTCTTTTTCATTCCTTTTATTTGAAAGATACCATTCTCTCTCAATGTGTTCATCTCACTAACTTTATGCTGGCTTGATAGGAAAGAGCTTCTATTCAATATTTTATCCACTTCTACGCCTCACCAATTTTTTTGAGAGAAAGGTTGAAGCATCCTCTGACTCAGTAGCCTCACTTGATATTTCAACTACACTTCTATATAAATCCTTGAAACGATTAGAAACATCTAACTTGGGATCCTCTTTGATAATGTGCCCACTATTATCAAGAACACATCCACTTCGAGCATGCTTGGTCTACCTTTTGAGAATATATCTTGGAGGAATAGCTATTTTATTCTATAGGTTAAGTACTCTTAGAGCATGACGACGTAAGATCCCAATAAAGTTATATTTTTGACAGCTTCACTCAACTGTTTCATTCTCTGAGTTATAGTTGACTTTGTGATCTATTGAATTTCCTAGTACACACACACTATACTCAAAAAGTAGTGAAGCTTGATTGCATTCTTTGAAGATTATGTTACAAGACTTCTCATATTCCTTTCTAACTTCATAAAAAATAGTTTTAGTATAGATGTCTCGTGCATTTTTCAACAAAAACACATTTATATCAAGTGGGGGCACTTTTTAATTCATTTCATAATTTTCTTCCAACTCCTCATATCTCATATCTTCTAACAACCTCTCAAAGTGTCCGAACAAATTTAATTCATTCAATATAAACTTCATATAGCCTCTTAAATGACTATTGAAGCTTTTACTCAATTGGGTTGATGTAGCCCTTGCAATAAAGGCATGTCGGCCATACACTGATACCCATTTTTCTTTCTTAGCAAACAAGTCTTGCATCCATTTATTTTGATGAAGGTTATACTTGTCAAGCATTGACTCCCATGCATTAAGAAAGTCATTCTCATATTCACATTCATTCATATAATGTCTTAGTTTAAAGCAAAAGAATCTGATTTCTTGTAAACATGATTAACTTTCTTGAGAGCATTTTGACAAAGATGCCAACTACATAAACAATGATGTGATTCAGGAAAAACATTTACAATTGCTTTAACTATTGCTGGATCTTGATCTGTAAAAATTGTGCTTGTTTTCTTCCCACACATAGCCTTTAAAAAAGTTCTAAATAACCATTCAAAGGATTCACTAGTTTCATCACACAATAATGCAGCATCAAATGCAATGATTTGTCAATGATGATTGAATCCAACAAAGGGTGTAAATGGTTTGAATCCATTATTTGTATGATAAGTAGTATCAAAAGATACCATATCTCCAAAATAAAAATAATCTACAGCCATATTTGCATCTGCCTAAAAGATATTTGCAATTTGATCTTCAGTATCAAGTTGAATTTCATAAAAAAGGATGGATTTTCTGATTGCCTTGACTGAAAATAATGAAGCAACTTGTGAGCCTCTCCTTCTTTCATTTTTGCCATCCTCTTTGAAGTCAAATGGTTGCTAACATCTTTAAGAGTGCACCAATATTCTCTCGCCCTGAAACTTGTTGACTCAAGAATTCAAAAATCAACTTTTGTCGTATGCCAGAATTACTTGCTAATTCAATTTAATTTTCTTGAGCACTTGAGACCTTTCTCTGAGATGGTAATTTATGCTTGCTCCTTGGTGTAG